TCTTAAATAAAGACCATTTTTGTTTTATTTTATTTTAGTTTGGCGTAACTTAAAATGATTGATTATTTACTTGTTATTTTTTATATTGATTTATATAAGCCTATTTAAATTGTTGATAAAAAGAGATACATAAAGAAGATATGTTTTTGAATTAGACCAATAATGTATTATTTATGATTCAGTTATATATTATATGTATTATTATTCAGTTAGTTACATATTATTATATGAAAAATATATATATTTATAATATGATTTATGATACTTTTGATACTACTGGGATACGAATAAATTTACAAGAAACATTACTTGATTTATATTTAAATTTATTCTCTGGCCACCATATTAACATTATTATAATTATTTATAACAGGAAGCCATTATTATTAAACAAAATATATATATACATCATATTCAGTAAAATATTTTAAGACCATTCTTAGACAACTATATATTCAATTATATAAATAATAAAAAGAACTAATATTTTATGTAAATTAGTTAAATTAGTTCGAGATATATTTATTAAACAAAATATCTAAATATAATATTATTATTCAAGAAAATACTTAGTTATCGCATTCAAAATAGTTTACGCTCGATTTTATACGTCTATATTGTAAACCAGAAAATATGTTGTTTTCTTTTCTTTTAATATAAATAATCAAAATGAATAAAAATTGATTACTTTGAATATCTGCAATCATTTTTTGAATATTTTGTCTCATTTAAATTTTATTTGCATAATAAAAAAATTTCAAATTAACATATACTATCTTGCTCAATTTGATTCAGAATATAAACCAAAGGATTTCTTTAATTTAAGTAAATATTATACTATGTATATATAGTTTGATTTAAAAAATAATTTTATATCACGTGACCTAAAATGTATCTGATTTGATAGGTCACGTGACATTTGACATAATGCCAATTGAAAACTTAACCTCCACTATATAACACATGAATTTGACTCCAAATGAAAAATTACTTTTTAAAGCACTTAATATAAGTACTTTTATTAAATTTTTTTTATTAATTTACTTAATTAAGAAGACAATTTCTTGGTTATTAAGAATTTGCTAAATGAAAAAGATGTACGAGTTGATTGTGTAGATAAAGTACCTTTTATAATATTGTGCAATTTATCACTAATATGTTAGAATTCTTTAACTCCCTTGCTTCATGCAGCTTTTCAAGCAAATCAAGAATTGATTAAGCTTTTAATATCATATGGCTCAAATATTAATTTTAATGGTCATAAAGATAAATATTCTGCATTAATGTTTGCTGCCTTATCAGGTTACATAAATTGCAGTTTTATAAGGATTATAATTAGGTATCTGAACCATAACAGCATCAGTTTATAATATAATATATTTGAATCTTTAAAAACTGGTTTGAACTCTTTCCATTATAAATATTCCAAATCTCCTTAAAAAAGATATTATTAATTTATATAATTAAAATTATCTTCTCTCAAATTATATAAATAAAGAGTATAAGTTGGGAAGTGCTGACCCATGGATTTTAAAATGTTTTTTTTTTGACTCGACCCATATAATTTTATGCCTGGCCTATAAATAGGTACCAGATCTTGCCTAGTAAAAAAGAGAAGATATTTTTTTATGTATTTAAATAAATGGGCATGACTAAAATAGGCGTCCCCTGTCAAGATAGATTATTTTTATAAAAATGAATATAGAATCGTGTAAAGTTTTTCAAGGAGATTCCGAAAATGGTATTTATAATTTTTTTTTTGAAAAAAATTATTTTTGACTAAACTACGCGTCCCCGGTCAAGATACATTTTTTAAAAAAATAAAAGCAGATTCATATTTAGCTCATTAAATGGATACAGAAAATGTTTTTTTTGATTTTTAAAAAAAGTAGAAACTTAGTAAAATTTTGAAAAACCATTTTCATTTTTTGACTATAATACGTGTCCCTACTCGTCCCCGGTCAAGATAGATTATTTTTATAAAAATGAATATAGAATCGTGTATAGTTTATCAAGGAGATTCAGAAAATAGTATTAATAATTTTTTTTTAAAAAAAATTTATATTAAAAAAATTTCCAAGCCAGCTTCATTACACATAAAATATAAAAAAAAAATTTTTTTTTAAATTATTAATACCATTTTCTGAATCTCCTTGATAAACTATACACGATTCTATATTCATTTTTATAAAAATAATCTATTTTGACCGGGGACGCGTATTTTAGTCAAAAAATGGAAAAAAAGTGTTTTTTTCAAAATTTTACTAAGTTACTTACTTTTTTTTAAATAAAAAAAAAAATTTTCTGTATCCATTTAATGAGCTAAATATGAATCTGATTTTATTTTTTTAAAAAAAAATGTATCTTGACCGGGGACGCGTAGGGATGCGTAGTTTAGTCAAAAAAAAATTATTATTACCATTTTCGGAATCTCCTTGAAAAACTATACACGATTCTATATTCATTTTTATAAAAATAATCTATCTTGACCGGGGGCGCGTAGGGACGCGTATTTTAGTCAAAAAATGAAAAAAAAAGTGTTTTTTCAAAATTTTACTAAGTTACTACTTTTTTTTAAAATAAAAAAAAAATTTTCTGTATCCATTTAATGAGCTAAATATGAATCTGTTTTTATTTTTTAAAAAAAATTGTATCTTGACCGGGGACGCGTAGTTTTTTCATGTAAAAAATTAGTATTTTAAAAATTTTACTAAGTTACCACTTTTATTTAAAATCAAAAAAAACATTTCCTGTATCCATTTAATGAGCTAAATATGAATCTGCTTTTATTTAAAAAAAAAATTGTATCTTGACCGGGGACGCGTAGTTTTTCCATGTAAAAAATTCGTATTTTAAAAATTTTACTAAGTTACCACTTTTATTTAAAATCAAAAAAAACATTTTCTGTATCCATTTAATGAGCTAAATATGAATCTGCTTTTATTTTTTAAAAAAAATTAAATTGACCGGGGACGCGTAGTTTTTCATTTAAAAAAATAATTTTTTAAAATTTTACTAAGTTATCATTTTTTTTTAAATCATAAAAAACATTTTCTATATTCATTTAATGAGCTAAATATGAATCTGCTTTTATTTAAAAAAAAAAATTGTATCTTGATCGGGGACGCCTAGTTTTTTCATGTAAAAAAAATAATTTTTTAAAAATTTTACTGTTATCATTTTTTTTTTAAATCATAAAAAACATTTATTAACTCATCTTATAAAGCTAAATAAGATTTTTATTAATATTATATAAATTAAACCCGTTTGACCGGGGACGCGTAGTTTTCGGGAGCGCGTATTTTAGTCATGCCCAAATAAACAGTAAAATGAGTTTAAATTATTTTGCAGTCATTTATTTTTATTGCATTTATATATTAATAACAAGAAATAATTAAAAATAAATTAATATAACTTACAAATCATATTTTCTTTATATTTTTCACATGCAGATATTTTTCATAATATATTTGCTTTTTTCTAAAAATTTATAGAAATCTTGGCAAAATCAAAATTGTTTTGTTTGCACATAAATGCATTTATAGTTTATACGGATAATTGTCCATTGACATTGCATAGGCATAGTTGGGGATGAGGGGGCAAGGGGGCCCCCTTTCAGAAATTTACCTGTTCTTGTATATATCATTTTAAAATAACCCCCCTCCCCCCCCCCTTCCTATAAAAATATATATAAATATATCACTAAAGAAATTTTAGAAAGAAAAATTAGTAAAGTTAATAAACTTTTAAGATAACTACTAAAATTCAAATTTAAAAAAAAACATTTTTATAAAAAAGTGAAAACCCAAATTTTTTTTATAAAAATTGAATATAGCCAAAGGCCTACTGAACCTAATGACCTCCAATAAAATTTATATGGAAAAACCCCGCCTAATTTAAGAATTTACTATTCTGTCAAGGATTAGAATATCGAGAAATATTTGACCAATTTTTGATGAAGAGAATTATATTTTTCAAAAAACCTATAGATTTTTTATAAATTTCACTATTTTGGAACATTTTAAACTTTCATCCACTGGAAACAAAATTCTTTAAGAGGTTCTGACGAAAATTCAAAATATTAAATACTACATTTATATACATTTAATTGCATCTACTTAGATTTTTCGTCATAAATATTTGTTTCAAACATTGCTTTTTAATGGAAATCTTTTTTATTTTTTCTTTCTATTTTAGTGATTTTAAATGGTTTAACTTCAATAACTGAATTATTTTTCTTCTCAACTTATCCTCAAACACATACATTGAGGAATGGGCAAACCACATATATGCTCCATTCAAATTATTTTCAAAATTTTTTTTGATAATTAGTAGATTGTTAATTGAAAGAAAGTAGAATGCTTCATACTTTTCAAGAAATCGTTGGATGCAAGGAAATATAAAAAAGACATCCTTTATTTTTAAAAAAGAAAACAAATTAAAATAAAAATTGATCCTGGACATATTTTTAGGCATCTTAAAAAAGAGATCTGATAATCCTACTTATAAATAATTTGGCTGGCCCTACCCTATAAATTTTTTTTATAAAAAAGACATAAATTTGCTTAATTTAAGCTTTAAAAAACTTTCTATTTTGCACAAGTTGTTTAGCCTAATCAAAACCAAAAAATCTTTTTGCCTGGTTCATGACCTCTTCTAAAGGTTGTTTGAGTGAGAAAATTTTTGATATTTTAGATTCAGTTTAGGTTCTATACAAATTTGACAGTTAAGAGTTGGGTTGTATTGGAAAGTCAAGTCAAACAACACAAAATGAGGAAAAGAAAGGGAAAGACTTTGAAAATTTTTTAAAACAACACCACTTTATTCACACAAAAAAAATAATTTATTCACACAAAAAAAAAAATTTATTTTCCATAAAAAATAAAATATATTTTTTACAAAAATAAAAATGATTATATCATAATAATATTTATATTTTTTTACAAAAAACGCAAATCATTTATTACCTTTCTCTATTTGCAAATAGGAAAACCAAAAAAAAATATAACGCCCTTCACCAAGTTGAAATTTCACCAATATACAACATGCCATACATATAATAATTAAACAAAACTGAATCCTCAATCCCCCCCTGCAGGAAATCTTTCAAATCTTCTATTACGGCTTCAGTGTTTTGCTTTCTGACCACATCATTGATGCTACCAGCTGGGATGGTCGCTCCTGAATGGAATGATCGGCCCAACTATCCTCTGGCCCTGCTCGTTCACCATATCCGCGACCAAGTAGCAATCCATCCTGACGAAGCTGGACGAACCATAACTGCACCCCTTCAGCATATCACTTGAGAGTCTCTCCATCTCGAAAAGGGAATTTGGCCTTCAGCGAACTGAACTTCGGACACTGAACCATAAGCGGAGACCGACTGATAATGCCTTGAAATATGTCCCATTGCGCCTCAACCATAGCACATCTTGGAGAATCCTATACTATAGATGAATATACGGTAGATATCAGAAGTTACTTAGGGGATACTTGGACAAAGAGATGGTTGGAGCACTAAGGAGCTCAATTGACAGACATAGATATGCGGGATGGAAATGGGAATGCAAGCTTATTCCAGGATCAAGATGTGATTGGAATCGATAGGAAGGGGGGGGGGGTCGTGTTGTATAACTGTGAAATTTGTATATTTTGTTTATCGTGACTTGGCGAAGGACGTTTATGTATTTCTTTGGTTTTCATGTTTGCAAATAAAGAAAGATAATGATAATTTTTTTGGTTAATGATGCTTACTACCAAGTGATTGAAATATTCTAAATACCAACATAATTTGCTAAATACCGACCAAAATTTATTAAAATGTAATAAGACCCTTATTATTTAATATATTATAACGGATTCACGTGGTCGAGTCCGGCCTTCTATATATCATCCCCCCCCCCAAGGATGGAATAGATTAAGAAAAAAACATGACCATTCCCGGGATTCGAACCCGTGACCATGGAATGAGTAAGCGAAGCTCTTGCTTACTTAGCCATAGAGGCTTTCCAAAAATCACGATTTCTCAAATATATATTATAAATATACTTGGTAGTGCCTATCCAAATGAAAAATAAACAAAATTCAAATTTGATAGGTAATACCTTAAGGTAGTAAGCATCATTAACCTATTTTTTTATTCGCTTTTTTTTGTAAAATATAATACGACGATAAAATATTATTTAAATTAATTATTTTATTTTGAGGAAGACATATTTTAATTTTGTAGAAAATATTTTATTTTGTGTTTATAAAGTGAAGCACTGTCTTAGAGATTTTTAGAGTTGCCTCTGGTATAATTTCAAAATCATTTTTCGCTTTAATATTCTGTTTATAATTTTTTATATCTTACCTCTTTTCTTTTTTTTTTTAAAAAAAATTTCAAACTGGTATTTTCTATTTATATATACTTTAATTAATTTATACTTCAATTTATTATAAAAAATTAATATATTTAATTTATTATCACAAAATATATTTTTTATCTTCTTTATCTTACTATTTTCCCTAGGAATTTTTTTTGATTCTTTAGCGGTTTTTTTAGTGTTGCGTCTCAGATTTTTATATTTTTAAGTTACTAGGTACCAAATATTGGAAAAGGCAGAAGGGCAGACCACACAAAATTAGAAAAGGGAAGGGAAAGCTCTGATAAATCTCTAAAACAGCATTTTACTTTATTCACACAAAATAAAATAATATATTTTTCAAAAAAAAATAAAATATATCTTCCACAAAAATAATAAAATTAATCATATAGTTAGTTTATATATATATTTTTACAAGACGCGAATAAAAATTTTTTTTTAATTATCTTTCTCTATTTACACATAAAAACTAAAAAAACATAAATATCCTTCACCAATTCACGATGAACAAAATATACAAATTTCCTTTGCAATTTTTTTTACCTTATAATAAAAAATTTTTTAATCTGAAAATTATTAATGAATTTAATTTTTTCTATAGGAAAACCAGAAGCTGTTATAATACTTTTAGAAAATAACGCTGAGACTTTGTTGAAAAATACAGTGAATCGCACAGCAGCTGAGATGGCATCGTTTATTGGTAATACTTTAATATTTTTATAAATATATAGTTTCAGTAGTCTGCAGGAAAAAAAATAATTAAAAATGAACTACAAGTTAGGCAAAGTTTTAATCTTAATTTTTTCAAAGACTTGGGCTAGGCCAAAATTTTAAATTCTTTAAGAAAGTTAAATTAATTTTATTGTATAAAAAAAAAGTATTTATTTTTTAAGATTGCGAATTAAACCTAATTGTTTTTTTTTATCAGCATGCACCGGGTATGACTACAAAATCTTGTACCAAAGCCTCTGATTCTAATTAGGGATTCAAACCGAGTTAAATCAGTATTAACCATTATTATTTATTGGAAACCTCAACCATTAAAAAATTTATCACCCGAACCTAAACCGAACATCTAAAAAGTATGTGAACTGGTCTGAACCATATATAACTTTTTTAAGATGATTAATAAGCAGTTTTGACTGATAAGTATTAATAATTATTTTTAGATTATACATTGCTATTTGATGGTAAATTAGTACATAGAAATATTCTCATTTATAGTTGGGTAATGGCTAAATATCGACAAATTCGGCTTAATCTACAGACACGTGCTGGAGGAAATCCATTAACATTAAGGCGTTTTAATTTGCATAGTTTCTTTCAAATTTGTACAGCTATATTTTTAAGAAAAACCCCGAGGTTAAAGTAACAGTTTTCGGCTTAAAATTCTTTTTAGCTGGCTAAAGATTGGCTCAAGAAAAATAGCGTAATTACCCAACTATAGTTTTCAGCTCGTCCTTACAGATATAATTTGTCAAAAGAAAAATTTTAATATATTATAATCGTATACTGCTCAATATTATTTTTTAGAGAATAGTGATAAAATTTAAAAAATACATAATTTTTTTTACACTTACATGCGAAGAAATTTGAACCGGTTATTAAAGGTTCAAACCGAACCCATATTATTAAACCAAACGTAGACCATGAACCATTATTTGTATCTGAACTTAAACCGAATTGATATTCTTTACTGTTTAGATCCCTAGTTCTAACTCAGTTTCCAACAATTTTGTAGAGCTATTTAAAAAAACATCATATCTGGTTAAAATTAATTTTTGTTGATTTTTTTTAATATGAAGAAATTTTCGAACCTAACTTCAATATCGACCAAAAAGTGGTAAGATTTTAGAATCATCGACGATATATAATATATATAATATGATATATAATGATAGTTATTTGAATATTTGCTTCCAGGGTATCATTACCTAGCTAATTTGATAAAAAATTATATAACACTACAAAGTATCGAGAAAACGATCGGAAAACTTTACAGCTCAAAACGTAAGAAAATAAATATTTATATATATTATATAGTGCTGTAAACGTTACTACAAAAAAGAAACGCGTTACTGTTACTCGTTACCTTTTTAAAAAAGTAATGCGCGACTCGTTACTTAAAAAATTAAATATTATATACTAAAAATATTTAATTTTTTCCTACAATATATAATATAAATAAATCTATACAAAAAGAATATATAATAAGATAAGATCTTTTTATAAAAAAAATTTTCAAATATATAATTATAATATAAATAAAATTATACAAAAAAATATATGCTGTATTCTTAAATCAACCAAAAAAAGTCGATTCTCAACCCGACTTCCTTCGATTTTTTTAAAAATTTGCATGTTGGTAGTATATACACTAACTAATAAAAATGTAAAATTTTACTTTTCAAATCGCCTTACTTCATGAGATATGGCCATCTTTAGAAAGGCGGAAATTCCAAAATATACTATATTTAATTTTAAATATCTCAAAAAGTAATTAAGCTAAATACGTGATTTTAATTTTATTAAATAGCTCTAGAATAGCTCTTTATTATGATATAAAATTTATTTTATTGAAAAAAAGTATATTACCAAAAACCGGAAATAGAAAACCGGAAATGGCTATTAAATAAAAATTGCTCTTTTTTTTCTTTAAAATTTTTTTTACAGATAGACATTATACTTCCTAATATTTGTACAAAATCCTAGATTGGGACGAGTACTGGGCAAAAAGTTATTACACTTTAAATATAAGTAGTATGGCTTAAATCCTATATTATACCAATAGTAATTTACGAAATAAATAAAAAGAAAATTCGTTTGGGATCAGGCCGGATATATTTTTTTATGAATCTTTCTGGCCGTGTTAGAAAAATTAGGCCCTATGCATATCACTAGTAGACATTGAGTCATATTTAGCACATAAGTTTAGCTATTTTATTTTAGAGGGAAAATAATTGTAAAAATATTTATAACTTTATTTAGCTAATTAATGGGAAATTTATTTTAATAAACATATTAATTAAATAATATCATACATTAAATAATCTAACGAATTAGAATAAAATTTGACTTTCATTTTTCCTTCCATTGGAATAAATGAATGATATTTTTGTGTCCCGGAAATTCGTTTGGCCATTAAAAATCTATTTTCAAGATTGATTTCCATTCTTAAATATTCTACGTTGCTAACAAATATATAATTAATTCCCGGGATATTGATTCTCGCATAATTATATAAGTCAATAGGAGTTATTATATGATTTTCATGAGGACGTTGCAGGCTTGCTCTAGCCGCCAACCTCTTAGTAATTCCCCCTAAACTAGCGCAAGCAAGAAGTTTTGCCATGTGCAGTTGCAAAAAAATGCCATTCTGCCTTGATCCCAAAATCATTATAAAGATTGTAGAGGTTTACAAAGTTTTTTTTGTTTTTACACTGAGTAACAGCTCCATCAAAAAAATAAAATATTATTGAAATCTTATCAAATCTTTCTTTCAAGAATAGAATTAATTTTATTTGAAATAAATGAAAGGAACAAGTATTGTGTTTGAGACAATCTGATATAATCACGTAACTTAAATGTTTGATGATATCGCCTTCGCGGTAATAAATCATAAATGGATGAAGTGTTGCTTGATTATTAGTCCAATGGAAACCTTGAGCGTGATCTTGAACTACAAAAGCGTAGTTCTCTGCAAAATCGGATATTATAATATATTCCCCATCCTTCAAATTCGATTTTAATGACTTAAAAAATGAAGATTGTTCCGAATAAATAAATGCATGAGGAATTAAAATATTTAATTTTTAAATCAAATACTCCACAAATTCCTTGGCGGACTTTGTAAAAGTTTCGAGTGTAGTACGGTCAGCTGCCAACCATTGTTTAAATGTTATATAATCTATGGCATTATTATCAAACAATAAGTGTAGTCTTTCTTTAAGTTCCAAAGTGCCGGGATACATTTGGCATTTCCTTAAGTAACAGCAAGGCTGGGCTGGATTGCATAGACTTTGTGTAATGTAGTGTTTATAATATTTTAAGGGAGGAAATGGAAAGTTATGCTGGTTTGCAGTTAACTTATCTAATTTACCACCAATTATAATTAACTTAAATTTTGATGAAATGTGCAGATGCACATTGTATGCGTTCCAGACCCGCCTGCTAAAATACAGTTTTTTAATCTCATAATAGCAAACTTGCTAAAACCTATCTTTATATTACTATTTATTTCTTTAAAATTGGTAAATAATTCTTTTATATTACATAAAACTAATCTCTTTTGCACTTGGTTCTTTTTTCCATTAACTTTCATTGATATAAAATTATTCATACCTGGCATAAGTCTGCTGTTTTCATCAGAATTATAAAATTCTATTACTTTATTTGCAACGTCATTTGGAATTATTCTACTTGGTTTTATGCGTTATATTTAAAATAATACAATACGATTTGGTAAATGTTGTTTTGAGTTTTTTAACATTTAATAAATGCAAAATAATCAGATTTTTTAGGATTTTAGTTTTAATGCTATTATTCACATATATTGCCCACTTTTTTAAAAAAATAATTACTCTATATTTGGTATAATATAGGATATACTACTTATATTTAAAGTGTAATAACTTTTGGCCCAGTACTCGTCCCAATCTAGGATTTTGTACAAATATTAAGAAGTATAATGTCTATCTGTAAAAAAAATTTAAAAGAAAAAAAAGAGCTTTTTATTTTATAGCCATTTCCGGTTTTTGGTAATAGACTTTTTTCAATAAAATTTTATGTCATATTAAAGAGCTATTCTAATGCTATTTAATAAAATTTAAATCATGTCTTTAGCTTAATTACTTTGCGATATTTAAAATTAAATATAGTGTATTTTGGAATTTCCGCGTTTCTAAAAATGGCCATATCTCATGAAGTAAGCTGAGTTGAGAATTAAAATTTTATATTTTTACTAGTTAGTGTATATACCATCATACAAATTTTAAAAAAAATCGTAGGGGGTCGGGTTGAATCTTCAATTGATTTGATATGGAATACAACATATATAAGATAACATCTTTTTCTTTTAATTTTTTATTTATTTTTAGCAACAATTGATTTTCAAAATTTTGATCAGAAAAACAAGAGCGCTTAGTACTCAACACCTTTCGCCATGCTAAACACACGTTCAATTGGCGCAGAGGATGGGAGAGTTGTATTATATTTAATATAAAAAAAATTTTAATTCGGGGAATTTATTAAAAATATTTAAAGCATTATATTTATTTTTGAAAAAAGCTAAATAGATCATCTTTACAAGGATCTTCATTCATTTCCTCATCATAAAAACATTTTAAAGCATTATATTTATTTTTGGAAAAAGCTAAATAGATCATCTTCACAAGGATCTTCATTCATTTCCTCATCATAAAAACATTTATCTTTATCAGAAAATATTCGGTTTGTGTGTTGGATAAAGGAATTAAATCTGGTATTTCCTTACCAAGATCTTTTCTCAAACTGGAAATAAATTCTAACATTCTTCCTTTGTTGATCTTTAATTTTATCCAGAGCCAACAATTTAAATAGCGGGTGAATTATTGCGGATAGTATATAATTATCTTTATAGATGTGTTTGAATCTATTGAAAATAAAAGATAATCAAAATATAGCTTGTAAGTAATATTTGAACTGTATACCTTTTATCTATGCCTTTCAGGATTGAATTTATAAGCAGCTTACAAAACTCTAATCATTTAAAGCCATTTTTTTTAAGTTTTAATAATATATTAGTTATCGTGGGAGTGAGATATTTCAAATGCATTTTTTCTTTGCTCTCTAAAATTGAAAGAGTCGTAGTTATCAGTTCATAATCTATTAAATCATATATATAATATTATATTTCTTAATTAACACTAATCATACAATATGAACGACTTGTCATTATCTGAAAATCTCTTTAAATCAGATTTATCACAAGATTCGTCAATTTTTTTGGCAACCTTAATAAGACTATCTATTAATTTCATGGAGTTATACAAAGAGTTTCATTTTGTTATAACCGGTTTAATCAGATATCTTCCCATATTTTTCTTAAAAATAGCTGCACAGTTTGAAGATTGCTCATGTTTATTCCACAATAGCTTACACTTAGAAAATGTAATTTTTGAAATGGTTTTAAAATGGACATCTTTATCTGCCTTTTCAATGTCAACACTTGCAATGAGATTTAAAGTGTGTGCTGAATAGGAATGATGCCTAGGTATACAATACTATCATCAGTATTTTTATTTTCAAATAGATCGAATAATGGTAGAGGAACTATGTCATCATTCGATTCCTCTACTTGTTCATATACTCTAATAAATTTTTAATAAATATAATATAATTTTTTTACCTAAAATTTTTTTTTGTTTGAACTTTAATAATTGCAAAAGTTTTTATATAATTTCTAGTATTGTCGGTAATGCATTTATCACTTCATTTTGTATCTTATATGTGGTAAAAATTTCAAGGATTATTTTTGCTAGATAATCAAATGTGTATTTTTGGTTTAGCCTTTTACAAGATAAGCAGGCTTAAACCCTCTCACGAGTGTCTGGGTATGGCAATTGTACCTTCTTCCCTAAATAAGAATTTAAGACAATATTATCAATCTATAAAAAATATATATTATATACCGATGATAAGCTGACCAAGAATCCCCAGTTGTACAGACAATTTTTGGGATGCACAATAAATCTACTAATTTCTGTAATGGTGCCATATGTTTTGTTAATTTTTAATACAATACGAGGGTAGGCCTAGACATCACATTTTTAGTTGGCTGCAATTTTTTGATAATATTAATAAATGCATTGCTTTCTACAATTGAAAATGGTTGTAATTCTTCAATTACAAAATTAAAAACTAATTCATCAACAGCTGATTGTGCTATTTTGACTTTGATGTAGATGGTTTCTGCATTTCAATGAGTGTGAATTGATTGGCTTCGATTTTTTTATTTATTACTATTCAAATGTTCATTAATCTGTTTCATTTTTGAGGAATGTACGGTTTATAATTTTTTATTTAAAATATTATTAATTCCTGAATTTTTTTATTAAAAATAACTTCGCCTTTTTAATAATTATAGATAGATCTTTTAAAAATTTAATTGCATTTTTTAATCCCTCACTAAACTTATTTTCAAACAAAACATTAAAAATTGAAATTATGATAGCCAAAGATAATTTTTCAATTTCTTATCCTTTTCAGAATTCAGAATTATCATTTAAAAAGGATCAGGAAAAATATCTAGGTTCAGTTCTCTAAAACAATATTGTTTCATAGTTTTATTCCATATATATATTTATTTAAAAATACATATTTATTTAAACAAAGTTTTTTAAAATCACTAATTTATTCTTTAAATGTATTAACAATATTTGAAGTTAGACCAATAGCAATACTGAAACAAGAAATAGAAGATATTCCTTAAACCCAATATAATATTTTGAACCAACACCAATATTTTGTCTTGGATTTTTAATGTTGGTTCCCCTATACTATAGTATAATTTAATTGCTTATATTTTAATTTTGAAAAATAGTTCTTTTAATGGTTATTTTATAATACCCATGATTTGATATTCTATTATTATAGTAATGTTTAAAATAATAATATATTAATTCATCTTTTTATCCTCATATGCTTTTTTAAGTTTGAACTGCTTGACATTGAGGTTGAAATATTTGTGTTGGGATATAATTTACATTTACTTAATTTTCTTTATTGGTGTAAAATATGTTTCAAATTGGGGCCAGGGAATGATTAAATCATATTCATTTAAAGAAGTAAGTACTATGGACATAATATTCTTGAAATAAATTATAAAATAGAATAATAATATTATTATTACATTTACTTTGAATTTTGATTGAATATTAATTAATTGGACCTAAAATTTAAGAAGTATTTAAAATAAAAATGAAGGAATGGTGTTTGATATGAATTAAAAATTCGGCTTAAATTATTTATATTAATAAATAAATAATAGTAATTTTATAGTATAATAAATATGTTTTTCTTTTTTTTAAATATTTTTTAAGATAAAATTTAAAGTTACGAGTAACGTTGCGTTGCCGTTACTCAAAAATAGAGAAACGCGTTATCGTTCCCCGTTACCTCTAGAAGAAGGTAACAAATGGCATTCCTTTTCTTCAAAAAGGTAACGAAGTTAGTAATGTTGTTACTTTTTTGACGTTACTTTACAGCACTAGAATTATATAATATACATTTTTTAATTTTAGGCTTAGTTGTAGATAAGCGAATCAGTTCTCACCTCTTCCGTGATTTACAGATGTACATTAATTTACAAAATATCCATCCGTTTAAAGTAATTATTTACTTGGAATAATATTATTTTTTTTAAAATAAAAATAAAAGGTTTAATATTTTTATTCCTTAATATTATTATTTTTTAAATATAAATAAAAAGTTTAATATTTTTATTCCTTGAAAATCAAACATAAAATATATTTAATTATAGTTTATCTTCCATATACATCGGCACCCGCAATTGTTACAAAATTACCTTACAGTCATGAGTGTGCTGACAGAGTTTATCAAAAATAGTGAGGACTTGGACAAAGAAGATGAATTAAAAAGTTTTAAGTGTCATTACGCATTATTTATAATCAATAAAATCATGACAAACGCTTTTAATCATGGAAATATAGATCTTGTTAACCACGAAACATTTGGAAATAATACTGAAACTATCAATATACATTTGCAAAGATTTATTAAAAGGTAACGCTTTTAGAATTTTTTAAAACGGAAAAATATTTATTTTGTATATAATAATAAGTTATGAAATATTGAAATTTTTAACCATCATATTAATTTATTTTTATTTTTTAAGCGTTATTCACACTATTAGATGTAAACCCGAAACGCATTACGTTGAGAGACTCTTGAGAGAAATGATCAAAAATTACCCCCACAAAGATAGCGCCATTTTTAGAACTCTATTATATGAAATTCATAAAATTCCTTTGGTAAAACATTTTAGTTATGTATTTGAAAATTTAATTTTTTTTACTCTTAAATAATTTATATTTAAATTGTTCAAAATTTTTTTTATTGTTTTTAACTTTTTTATTGATTATTTTTTAATTATAATCATTTATACGAAACCGATAACGTTTTCTTATAATAATAAAAAACATATCACGTATATTAAATTACGATGATTATCCTTTATACTAGAGCCCGGACCAATGTTATGAAATCCCACCCGTCCCAAACTGAAATGTTAAAAAGTTCTGGTCCAAAAAAAATAAAGATAGGTTTTGAAAAATAATATTATTACTTATTTTTGTAAAACTGGAAAATTAGAAGCTCTCTAGGAAAATAAGAAATTTGGGGATTTTTTTTTGCATGGAAATAAAAATACAAAAACTGGCCGAAGCTCGGCCTGAGAGAATCGTTGAATCACCAGGTTCGTGGAAGGTATTTTTTATACCACCTTTTAAATTTATAAATTTATAGGCTCTATTTTACGATTTTTATTTCATTATCTAAAATGTTTTATAAATTATTAAGGGTGATAATCCCACATCTCACTCCATCCTACAAAACGTTTTATTTTATAGTGTTAACGAAGGAGAAACAGTTAATCATAATCACGTTGAACTAGATGCCTCTTGTGTCGTGTGTAGCGAACTTAAAAATACAAAAATCTGCAAGAATTGTAATCAGGTTTGTTATTTTACTTTGAACGATAGCTTTTTTTCTTGAATTTCTAAATTATTGGGTAATACCAGTGCTGTAAACGTTACTTAGTAACGCTTTTCTCGTTATTTCAAAAAATGCTTTGTTAACTAGAAAATTTTAACATAAAATTACTATATAACATTTTTATTTTGATAAATTTAAATATAATAACTCACTTATAAACCTCCTAAAATCGAATAATTTAATATTCTATTTGTTTTAGACGAATACTATTTTATTCGAAGAAGAGTCATAATTAACTATAATGAGCGATATTATAAAAATGGCTATTATAATGAGGATATGTGTGAGTTATTTACTATTTTGAAATGATAGATTATCAAATTTAATAAAGAACTAAAATATTTTACAACAACATTTACCTTGTAAAAATTAAAAAATAAAAGAATATTATAAAAGAAAATATGCTATGAAAGAATTTCAATTCATTTTTAACCTGGAATATTTAATGTTTGTTGAATATTAAAATTTTAAAGATTTATTAAAACGAAAATTTCGCATTATTTAAATTATTCGAATCGAATAATTGGTTATTCTAATTTGTATCTAATACGAATACATTATTATTTATAGTGATGCAAAATCGCTCCATTTGTGCCGATTTTTAAACCGGCTAACTCAATATTTTATCCAGGAAATTATTACGCAAGTCTGAAGATTTTGCTAATAGATGGCACAAAAGTTTGGACATCTATTAGTGAAATCTCGAGTATCAGGCAATTATTTTTCTGGCTAAAATATTGAGTTAGCCATTTTTAAAAATCAGCTTAAATCGATCGATTTTGCATCACTATTATTTTGTATTCAAAGGAACGAATTGAATAATTCGAATATTTTTTTTGAGGTCTACTTATGATTTAAAAGTAATTTAATAACCTTGATTATGTACAAAATTTCGAAAAATATGCTTATAAAATGTTCAAAAATAAATTTCAATGGAAATAGCAGTGTTGGCAAATCCATCAATTGACCGCTTAATTTGGTCAATTAACCTAATTTATATCTAAAAATATGCTCATTATGCTGCTTATTCATCGAATCCCCCCAATATTTGATAGCTAAAATATATGGAAATCAGTCACTTCCACAAGAAATAATCAGAATTTTCCGTCAAATTGGCGGGACATGCTTTACCCTCCTTATCCATAAGTGCTGATATTTTACTAATAATACCTAGTTTTACCCTTTCCAGAAAGAGATTGTTCAATTTGGGGTCATGCCAAAAACGGAAATCGAAGCGATTGAAGATCTCGACAACAGGAAGACTGGTAAAAGTATATCATAACCTAAAATTGGCTAAAAATATTTTAAAAAAATGATAATATTGAATGGATCAGAACAGGTCTTTGCCACGTAGAAATAAACTTATAGAATGAATTAAAAAAATATTGCAAAATTTAATACATAGATTCATTTTATTATTATATACAAATGAAGTTCATATTTTAAAAAACATATTTGAATTTGACCTGTCAAATATGGGTCAATTGACTGAATAGTATTTGACCGATTTAATATACAAAACTGGGAAATAGTATTAAAACGTTTTTGAATGTTTGAGTTGAAAACTCGGCTGAATTAAATTAATTTAATTATGAATTATTAAATTTTTTATAAATAACACATTATTCTTTACTTTTAAAAAAAGTAACGATTATGTTTCTTTCATAAACAAAACTTTACAGCACTGGGTTATTCATATTTAATATTGTACCAAATTTATTAAACTTTTTTTTGTAAAATTATATATAAAAAGAGTTGAGTCTATATCACTACTTCAACTAAAAACGGCCATATACAATTTCTCATGACATTAAATTTAAAAAACACTGAGAACTTGATTTCCTTTAATGAACTTTTAGGAAGTTATTGTTCTTTATATAAAAATTTAAAAAATTTTATTTTCTTCTAGCCATATCAGAATTAACATGAAATTTAAAAGTAAGGTTTGTTTCAATAAAAAACGTCCATCACATACAGTGGCGTAGCCAGGATTTTCTCATGGAGGGGGGGGGCCCTCCTGCTTCCAACCTCCCATTTTTTATGAACACTCAATTGCTTATATCTTAGGTTAAAATTATTTTAAATATTTGCATATAACAAAATTTTAGAGAGTTTTCATTATAGATTTTATTTATTATATAAAAATACTTCAGCATAAAATTCCTTTATATAATCATGTATTTATTTTTATTATTTAAAATAAATTTCAAAATGTAGATATTTTATACAGATTATAATATTAAAAATTTTATTGTATAAAAATTATTTAAAAAAAATTAATTTAGCAATTACATAAAATATAAGCAATTCTTATGCTAATAATGGTATTTAAAAAAATATGACGATATTATCAAAATATAAATAATACACAGCACTTTGATTAAAAAATAGTATTTAATTGCATATATTTTAAGAGTTAATACAAAAATTATATAAATGTTATAACTAAGAATTCATTTTACGAAAAAATTTGATTATAAATATTATATATTAAAACTAATATAATCATATTGCAATTTTTTGATTTGAATTTATAAAGAGAAGCCTACTTTTCTCTGAGATTTTGCTAATTTATCTAGAATCAAATTTTTATCTATAATAATCTCTTTATAAATATTTAATAGGGCTAAACCATTTAAACGTTTTTAACAGGTGGTATTTCTTAAATAGGTTTTTAACCTTTTTAAAGTTGAAAAAGACCTATCATTAGTGCAGGTACTAATTGGTAAGGTAGCTAAAATAAATAATGTTTTGATATTAGTCAGGGAATCTAAAGTGCAATTACACATGGAAAGGGCCTGCAGAGCATTTTTGGTCTCAAAGAATACTTTATTCTGTCAAAATTTTTATACCAAAATTTGACATCACAAAGTAACTTATCTTATGAGCCTACTAAATCATCAGCGTTAGTATCCTCTCATGTTTCAAGTGCAATCAACAGTTTAGACTCAACCGGCAAAAGAAAATAAAAGCTTTTTAAAATAAAATTAAAATGTATTAATAAGGGGAGTAAAGATGTTTATTTTATACAATCGTAGATGCATCAATATTTGAGCGATTGGATTGTCTAGAACTCTACATTTAAAAATTTCAATCCCAAACATATTTGCAATCTCCTTTACTTTCTCATATATTTCATGAAATTTTTCATCCACATTCTCTGATATTTGTTAATATTTCAACAATATTCCTTGCTCTATCATACCTCCCTTAATTCCAAAACAATTTTTTGTAGCATTTTGCTAAAATCATATGAATAATTAAATAAAAACTAACACATTGAATTGATATTAAAAATTGAATAGCCTGCAAAAGATTCTCAGCATCTGCTGAATCTTTTTCCTTGCTTGATATATAAAATTCCAGTGCTGCAAATACGACATCATATAGTTCAATAAAGAGTTTCACTGACTCTTGTCTTTTCAATTAATCTAATCTGACAAAATCTTTTAGTTTCTTTTTTTGATTCTTTGAGTCAATGTCATGATACGTTTGAATAAACTATTGACAAATATATATTTTTATAAAATGGAATATGACAAAAATAGACAAGTTTTATGTAATGCAAAATAATTTAAAATTTATTTAAAAAAATATAAAATTATCAAATATTGTAGATCAATTATTATTTATAATAAATTAAAAACATAAAAATAGTTGTTTTTTTAATTTCAAGCATTTATTATCAATTTAGTAAATTAAAATAAAAAAAATTTTTTAAAAAAAATTTAATTAAAAATAAAAATTTAAAAAGATAAATAAATAATTTTTTCCCATTTTTCGAGGGGGGGGATTACCGAAAAAGAGTTAATTACTTATTGACAAATATTTGATGCCATTTATCTGAGTTGTTAAGTAGCGCGCTATCTTTTTGGTAGCTATAGCTAATAGCGGCTACTTTTTTGTAATTATTTAATTTTTAATCGCGCTACTTTTTTGGCGCTACTTAGCTACTTTTAAAAAATATAATGAAGGTAAGTATAATAAAAATTTAAATATAATATCATGATTAATTATAATTTTTATGATTTATTATTTAATTTTGAAATTGAAATATATTTTCAATTTGTAATTTATATTTCGTTTGTATCACGTGTTAATAGTTTAAAATGTCTTCGCCTATGGATATCCAAATCGTTGAAAGTGATTCCGACAATGATATTAATGAAATGGAAGATACCAGGGAAGAAAATGTTCTTAATAGCTATAATACAAATTTCCCATTCCCTAGATTTGAAATATTTTTTAAAATATATATAAAAACCAAAACTGGTTTCAAATTTATTTGTTTAAAATGTAAAAAAAAATATTTCGCAAATCAATCCAGATGCAAATGACAATATTTCTAAGAAATTGGCTGATAAAGTTATTGCTGATATAATTTATACAGTTCAGCCAATGTCCTTGGTTGATAATCCAGCATTTGCCATGATGATTAAAAATATATCCCCTGATACAACAATTTTATGTCGCCAGACACTAATGATTAAAATAGCAGAGCTTTATAGTGATGAAAGTTTCCCTAATAGTAGAGTTGTCAGGGATATCATATATATGTACCACGGCAGATAGTTGGACACATAACACTAGGTAAAAACTTATGATATGCAACAAATCACCATATATATTTATTTTTATTACATAAAATTTTTTATAATCAAAGCTAACTATATTTTAATATTTATAAATGTTGATTTTTATATATTTACTATACAATAACATTATAAGCAAAAAAATTAAACAAATTTGTTTCTAAATTTTTTTTATAAAAAGTAGCTTAAAAAGTAATAAATATTTATTTTTATTACATAAATTTTTTTATAATTCAAACTAACTATATTTTAATATTTATAATTGTTGATTTTATATTCACTTTACAATAACATTATAAGCAAAAAATAAAAAAATTCGTTTCTAAATTTTTTTTATAGAACGTAGCTTAAAAAGTAGCTAAAGTACTTTTAAAAAATAGTAGTTAATAGCGCTCTATTTTTTTTGACAAATAGCGATAGCGGTAGCGCGCTACTTTTAAAAGTAGCGATTAACAACTCTGCATTTTATGCTACATGATGAATATTTATCTACAAATGAACGATATTTGTCTAACTCTCTTTTCATAATTTCCCATATATTCCCTAGCTAATCAAAGTCGAGGCTTGGTGAAGACTATACCAATCCCTTTATGCTATTATCTGTTAATAATTTTTTTCAGATTTTAATAAATTATAAGGGATCCTATTTATTTTAGGCGTGTATATTTTGCTGATTGGTTAACTATTAAAAATTTCTTAGAAAGATAACAATTCCATCAGTCTTTTTCAGTCATGCAATATCAAATAATAATTTTTTTGGAATTTTTTAGACCGCTTTATTTTTTTCTCAAAATGAAATTATTACTAGCCCCCAAACCAGATGTAATCGCTAAATACAAGTTATTCCACGGAAGTCGAATTCAAATGTTGTTCATTCAATTTTTTCTCTTTTTTTGACGGCTATTTTTTTTTAATTTGTAAAAATGGTGAATATAAACTATATAAAAAACTAAAGCTTTTACCTAGTGTTGTTAATTTATTTGGTTATAAAATTTACGACCCAATTTGATGCTCAGGCCTGATCTGAGCACGAACCCGCACAGAGCAGGGGTCAACTATAATATTTTATTGTCAATAATTTACTCAATCATATTTTTATGCATAGAGGAATAATATCAATATTATCTAAAACTAGCTGAGAGTCCGTCAAGAATGACGGAGAATCAGAATTTTCTCCGTATGGATAAATAATAAATTTTACCTTCATTTGACGATGGATGAATCAGAATAGTCTGATTACAGGAATAGATTATCCGTATTCATCCGTCCAAGATTTCTATAAATTTTTAGAAAAAAGGCCAAATATATTATGGAAATATGGAATAAAAAGAAATATGATTTGTGAGTTAAGATATTTATCATTTAAGAAATTTTCCACATCCAGACACAATAGATTTTGCTCTCTCACTTCCTATAAAATCTACATTCTTCTCAAAGAATCAATTAAATGCTTTTAAAACCTTCCTATATATTCTTTTAAAAAAAGACCATCATAGATTCGAATCAATTATGGGGGCAAACCAGATTATCTTACAAACACTGTGGTGGTATCCACCCCATTGCAATGGGCTATTTCGAAGATTATTAGCAAAAATAATTGCCATTGGTCAAAACCTTCGGTCTTAACTTATTAAGTATACTTATCAATTAGGATTTGGTGTTAAGGGAAGACAAAATAGCTTCAGATGCCATTTGTATTCCAAAATCCTCCTCCTAACATGGCTATTATTAAAATAGACTTTAAAAATGCTTTCAATAGCAAATTTCGTGAACATTTCAAAATTATTTTTATCATATTCTTAGAGACATACTGTAACATTAAAACTCCTTTATTCAGCCAACATGTCATAGATTCTGAAGAAAGTATCCAGCAGGGGACAAACGTCCTCGTTTATTTTACCTTGGTATTCATTATCTTATCCATTATCTTAAATCTAAATTTGATTTGGATATAAATATTTGGTATCTTAATGATGGAACAATCTGTGATGCTCTTCCTAAAATAATTGGATTTCAATTTCTTGAAGCCAATTTTAACCAAATCCGAAATCTGTTACCATGATAACAATATACAAAACCCTCATTAGCAAAATTAAATTTTTTATTGAGTACATAAATAATATAAAAAAAAGGAAATTAATATAATTAAAAAAAAGTATACAAAGTTAGATTATAAAAAATGACCAAGTTGGGTTAGAAAAAAAAGTCTTAGCTGGGATTCGAACCTATCCATCAGATTTGTAAGCGACGCTCTTACCGATTGGGCCACAGACACTTTTCAAAATTAACTATTTTTTAAATATATATATTATAAATTGTGAAAGTGTGACAAGGCTTTTATATATATTATAGATAATTATCTTTAATAATATTAGATTCTTTTTTTAAAAATTGTTCTCTTCTTATAAATCCGAAAATATTGTATAATTTTTACTTTACATTAGCAACGCGAGTCACGAACTCGAGTTGTGATCGGGAACCCAAATTAAAAACTTAAGGACTAATAGTTCAATATTCACTTAGAAATAATTATCGTATTAAAAAAAGAAATTATTAGATTCCCTTTTTTATAAAATGTTCTATCTTGAGATAAAATTATTATATAATTTTTATTTTACAATAGCAAATCTAGTCGCAAACTTGAGTTATGATCGATAACCCAATTTAAAAAATAGAGGACGAGTAATTCAATATTATTAAATAATTAACATTGAATTTGAAATAATTATCTTATAGGAATTTATCGATTTTTAGATATTTATATTCATATATCATCAAATAAATGCGGGTTATATAAGTCTTTATAAGTTTATTTAATTAATAATTTTCGAGGTCTGGTCTTTCAACTTTTTGCCCTAGTCATTAGAGACCGGAAGATTGAACAAATTATGAATAAATTATAGTTTTTTAATTATTATTTATAGAATATTGTAATAGAGACAGTTTTTTTAAAATAGTTGTGCTTAAAATACCATTATCCAATTAGATTCCATGTGGTCGTTTTAACGAATCACACCCCAATTACTAATCTTTTTACTATTCTGAAATGGCTATATAAAAATAAATGTTTCAAAACTTTTTACATTAGTAAAATCTAGTAAAATGTCTTAAAAGCTTCTTTAAAAAAAATTATGATATATTTTTTAAAATACAATGTAGCATGAAAAAATTAAAATGATCGTTTGAGGCGATGAAATAAGCATTAGGCCGGATTTACAGTGGGATCCGATCCGTCAAGATGTAATTTTAAAAATCTATCAGTGAGATCATTTTTTTAAAATTAATCAATAATTCTTAGATTATTATTATGTAGAATTAAAAAATGTTATTAAAGGAAGATTGATCTCATAACAGATTTTAAAAGTCGATCAGATATTAAATCTTTTAGGATCAAATCCCACTAGAATCCAGCCTTATTTTTTATTTTCTAGTAATTTCAAATATTATACTTCTTTTTAGATATATTATTGCAGCGTTTATTGTCAAAAGTTGGATTGGCCCTTTCACAAGAAAACATGTCTTGTTTAACACTTGTTTAATATTTAGAAATTATAGAAGATTATCAATTTTATATGTAATCTCATCGTGCAATCTATTTGTATTATTTAGTAAATGTATATTAAAAAATAAAATCATATTTTTTCACTAGTGGTTAACCAATAAATAATATGAAAATCTATTTTTAACAATAAATAGAAAATTTAAAAATAATAATTTTTGTTAATTTAATTAATAATGGTTAATTTTTTCTAGCCAATGAAAATGCCTAATTTTTTCGAATATTTATTTTAATCTAATAAGAAATCCTAAAAAATCTGCTTGAAAAAACATTCTAAATAGTAAATCTGAACTGAACGATTTCATATCTGCAACATTGACCATTATACGTAAAAAGAAATCCAGTTCAAGGTTATAATAACTGTCACACGAATAATAATAATACAAGAAAACCATGCTATATTTGTAATTTTTCCTGCTATACAGAATTGAGCATACGGAAAAATGTGCAGCAAATGTAAGAGATTAAAACACTTTGCCGTGTGTTGTAAGAATGAAGGAAAAGTTTTAGGTACAAATTACAATAGTAACTACTATGATTCAGATTTCTCAATAAAAAAAGTCTACTAATATGGATAGCACCCAACAATTATGGTATTAATAAACAACCACGAAATTAAAATGGAATATAATAAAGGTTCAGCAGTAACCATCATTAATGCAACAATTGGGAGAAGCTTATATAAAAGTCCAATTAAATGATAAAATAGAATAGCTTACGTTATTAGTTACAAAAACAAATGATGCAGCGCTATTTAGATTTCCATGGACTATGGAATTTGATCTATCGACCAAAGGTAATCAATACTCCAGTGGTAGTGGTACATAAAACTTTAGATGAACTACGATTATGTGGTGATTTCAACAATGAATAAATATTTATTAAAAGACTATCACATTCTACCTGAAGAATTAATCACTAATGGAAATAAGTATACAACATAAGATCTAAAAGACGCATATCTACAAATGAGTATTGCCGAAGAATCGCAAGAATTATTACCTAAGGTAGCATCAAATGGATTGTATCGTTATTTTCGATAACCTTTTGGTATAGCTACAGCACCAATAATCAACGATAAATGGATGATTTATTGGCTTACTGTAAAGATACAGCAGTTTATTTAGACGATGTTATAATCACAGGAAAAATGATACAGAACATGTAGAGAATATAAAACAAGTCCTCAAAAAATTACTAAATGCGGGATTAAATGTCAAAACAAGCAAAATAAATATTAGAAACAAATGCATCTAACCAAGGATTTGGAGCTGTACTCCTGCAAAAATATAATAACGGAGAGGAATTTCCAATAGCGAACACATCAAGAACTTTACAAGACGCTGAAAAGAATTATTCTACAAAAGACAAAGAAGCTAAAGCAATAATAAACGTTGTAAAAAAATTTCATAACTGTTTGTATGGACTTAAGTTTATAATACGAACGGACCATAAAATAAAGATATATGGCAATAAAAGAGATTTATTATTAACAAATCAAAGATTATTACGCTGGGCGGTCCCCTACATTAAATCTCCCCCAAATTCAGATAACTACAGGTATAAATTATTCGCATGTGAATACGATATTATGTAAAGTGCAGATGCTTTATCGCGAAAATGATGATAGAATAACAAGCGAAAATAAAACAGTGATTTATATAAGAAATCGGTAACCCACTGAAACTCGGGGAAATTTTTCATATTATTTTTAAAAAATTTTTTATGTAATAATAATTCAAAATTTCATTACTCAAACGTTTTAAGAATTAAATATTTTTATTGGCATAATTTTAGATTTTGATGCAATAAGAATTTTTTTTAAATATTATTTTTTAATTTCCCAGAACAGGAAGAAAATCTTCCACTCATTTATATATATGTCAATATTCTTAATTTCCTTATATTAAAAATATGTCAAATTTAATTAATTAAATTTTTAAATAATATAATTTTATATATAAGTATTTATGTTTTTCCTTAAAATTGATATCTATATATTGTCAGTTTATATATTATGTTTATTCAAATATATTGCTTAATTATCTACTATTTAATTTAATAGTCCTAACTTAGTAGCATCTAATAATATTGCACACGGCTTTTTAAATTTTTTAAATAATATAATCTATTTTTAGTGTAAAATTAAAGAATTGTGAAAATTTTAACAAAAAAAAATTATAGTTCTAAATTAGTAGCATTTAATATGCACACCTTTTCCATTTTTAATATAAAAGAACTGTGAAAATTTTCACAAGAAAAAAATATGGAATTCTTAAAACTTTTGAGTAATGAAGCTTTGAATTATTATTACATCAAAAAATTTCCACCAATATCCATCTCATATTAATTTTAAAAAAAAATATTAAAAATTTCCCCGAGTTTCTGTGAGTTATCAAGAAACTTACTTATGACACATTAACTCTAGAACTTATAGAAGACGCAAAAGATCCAATATTAAAAAAATGGTACAAATATACAAAATCAAGCACCAGAATTATAAGGTTTTAGAACGAGAATAGATGAAATAAAAAATGACGACGGTATTTTGTTGGAATGACAGATTAATTCCCTACTCACTTCAAAAAAGAGTTTCACATATATTGTATGTTGGACATCCGGGGATTACATCAATGAAATCCATTACGAGACATTATATATGGTGGGAAGGGAACAATTAGATAAAAATGTTGAAAAACAAGTTAAGAGCTGTATAGAATATCAAAAACAACGCAAAGATATACCAGGTGTTGCCCTATACCCGTGGAATCCGCCATCTGGGAAAGGGTGCATTTAGATTTTGCCGGATCACTGGACGTATTTTATTGGCACATAGAAATCGATGTGTACTCAAAATGGATCGATATCGATAGAATTAAAGATAAAATAAGTAAGAATCTAATAAATGGATTAGAAAAATGGGTTACTCGATAATGATTCCACGTCAAATTGTAACCGATATTGGTCCACAATTTATTTCAAATGAATTTGATAAATGGTGTAAAAACAAGAATATACAACATATAAAAACTACACCGTATTATCCGAGAAATAATTGTTTAGTAAAAAGATGCATTCAGACCATCAAAAATCGATATTTCGCAAATAGAGAACAAACGAAATGGGGAAGATGCTTAAATGAAATGCTATTTACGTATATAAATTCAGAACACTCATCAATGGACGAACAGCAAAACTATTGACTAAATACATTATTGGACTGGGTCAAACCTTATATTATTGAAATATTAGAAACTTCTATAGTTAAACCTAACCAGTTAGACAAAGGAACACATAGATATTTTGTAGAAAACGATTTAGTTTGGATAAAAAACCCGATTGTAAAAGGATAGCATGAAGGAAAGATAATAAATCAACAAGCTAGATTCTCTTATAATGTAGAAGAAAAAGAAAAAAATAGTACAAAAACTCGCCGACCTACTACGAACAAGGGAAGAGTTAGTCGAACCCGAATCAATAATAATAGATGACAATATAAAGATAGGAGAAGTTAAAATAGTAGAAACAATTAAACCAAGTCAAGAAAGAATTCAAAACCGATACCCAACGAAGGAACGAAAGCAAACCAAGTTTAATAGACGAATTTGAACTTGGTGGGAAATATGGCATGTTATATTTCAAATATTGAGCATAAATTACTAGCTAGATATATTAAATTTTAAGTTTTATTATAATTATATTGGAAATAATTTGTGCATCCGACTTGTGCAAACTATAAAGTGGGCAGGAGAGTATAATTTGACTATTTTAGAGAGTAAGCGGAAAATCTAGGGGAAAAATTTCCCGGAAAATTTCGTAAAATAATTCCCCGTTTCTTCTAATAAAAAATATAAAGTGGAAAATAATTCCCCGGGGAAAAAGCTATCTCTTAATATTTTTTTTAAATATCAAAAATGCCCGCCACTAAAAAAATACATTTTTATTGAATTTAGCAAGTTGGTAAAAATAAATGTAATACGATTTCAATGAATATGAAATTTAGAAAAATAACAATTGTTATAATTATTAATAATAATTTGCTAGATGAGGATTTTTAATATATTATAAAACTGTCAGTTTTCTGGATGTGCTTAATTCTTCTATCGATTAATTATCCAACAAAACGTTTTGTTTGATCAACTATAAAGGGATGTTTACCGTTATATTCTATTTAAAGTGACGAACCATTATACGTTTTTACAGAAAATAACACCTTTATTAAAATTAAACTGTTATTTCGTACTCTCGAAGATTTAAACACTGAACAAAATTTCTGGTCCTTTCCATGGAACTTCTTAATGAGAAATCTAACAAAATTGGTAAATAAGAACAAATTAACACCAAATAACGGCATAATAATTATTTATAAAAATAGCTAAAACCTTGTTTAAGTGATCAAATATAACTAATCAATTAGCACAGGTATAAATAGCTAAACAATAGAATTATTTTAATTAACAAATATAATTAAAAATCTTCTAATTTAGACAGTTAGTGACCTCAAGGCATTATAACTTTAAACAGGGAAAATTAATATCATCTCTAGCAAAAAAATCTCTAAATTAAAAAAATCGAAGTTATCAGAAAACTTAAAATTAAGCATTTTCCAGAAAAAAATCTAAAAGTAAAATTCGTTATGTTTCTTGACTCACTTTCGTTTCGCAAGTTGCTTTCATTTTGAAAACACGATGTTTTTGAAAGATACTATGATATTGCAAAAGGCCGATATCTGTTTGAAAACGCATACTTTCTATATAAATAATGTTTTTTCAGTCAAATCTTCCATCCCAGGTTTAGTGTCTTTGGAACGATTATATAGGCTCATAATATTTTGTATTTTGCAATATTTTATTATTTGTGTTAAAAATTATCATATTTTCAAATATGATTGGTCCTAATTAATTTTATGATTAGTTCTAATAAATTTTTAATGCTCCAAAAAAATCATTTTAATATAAAAAAATTACTGGCTACGTGCCTGCCTAAATATAATTTAATTAAAGTTTTATAATAGTATATTTTTTACGACTTATGTTACGGTGTAATAAATATATTTCGGACAAAGATTAGTGATATCGGATCGGTAATCGCCCAATATCAATTTAATATAGGTAATATCGTATCGGACTCCAAAAAGTGATATCGGTACACCCTTAGTATATATATTATAATTATATCATATATAATTAAATTTCAGACTTAGTTATTTTTAAAATACTTTTATTTGGTCAACGTCCCCTTTTGCCCTATGCCAGCCTCCTTACTAATAAAATAATTATTCGACAATATTATTACAAGCCAAATATATAAATCTAAAAGATATACAATAAAATTATAAGAAATAATCACGTCAATTTTATATTACTAAGTCCAAATTGATTTATAAATAATATTGTGTAATATGTCAAAACGAGTGTATATTACGAGACCGTTCCCATAGGATATCCGTGGTTGGCTATAGTTTGTTTATCTTCAGGAACATTAGTTACATGCCCATTCCTAAAAGCAACTGGAATAGCTGAAAGAAAACTTCCTAATTTAGAAGATTTATTGTTTGATTCCTCTTCCATGATATTTTTATTATTATTACCAGAAAATATAAATTTAGAGATAAAGAGCGCTAATAATATAGCTACAGTGCAAATTGAGAGGGTTAAAGCTATCCTGGCTTGTTTTAAGGAATTGAGAACTAAATTTTGACGATCATTACCATAGGCATTATTCGTTTGAGCAAGACTATTGGGGATAGAATTTGTGTCAAAGTTATCATTGTCAGCATCTCCATCATATATGTCATTAGTTCCTTTGATATGATATCTTACCTTACTTTCATCTATCAAATCAAACAGATATTAATCAATATATTATTTTGGTATCAAAAATTATCAAACCTCGAGTGTTATTAAAATCGGTTACATTTTCGCAAAAAGTGAAAGCATTCAAAGGTGGATACAGGATAGGTACACCTGCTAAATTTGTTGGAGTGTGACATTTGGCGTTTTCGATGTTTAACTCTTGTAGATATTTATCTGAATGACTCAATTGATCTGACCAAAATTTGTACCATTCTCGAAATCTGCGCATTTTACAATCGCAGTGCCAAGGATTATCTAATAAACATTTCAGTAGTAAAATTAAATATTATATTATAGTAAATTAGGCCTAAATGTTTAAGCCTAACAATAACCAATAAAAAGTCGAGATAATTGCACCAATCTAAATTTAAAAGATAGACTTAATGATTTAGGTAATAAAAATCTCCCACATTAGCTACTCAATATTATAAATTGCATATTACCAGATATTCCGATGAAACGAAGTATATCTTCAGAGCCCTGTAAAGAATCGATATCTAAACTAGTCATATTATTGTGACTCATATTTAAGTATACTAAATTTTCATATTCGGATAAGGTTAAGGAAGGTAGCGTTGGTTAATAATTATGAGAGAGATCTAGATGTGTCAAACTCTTTCCTAAAGATTTAAACGAAGTTGAGTGTATGATTTTCAAATTATTGTTGGAAAGGTCTAATTTTTCGAGTTTATCGTTTTGATAGAACGTTAATTCGGCAATTTCATTGATAAAATATTTGGATAAGTCCAAAGTGTTTAAATTTCTAATAGTCGAACTTGAACTTGGTGTGAAATAAGATATGCTATATTTCATATATTTTAATAGTTATAATATTCAATGTTATTTGGATAATATATTTGTTATATATTAATATAGCTTATTTATATAATATTATATAAAAGGTCAGTTAAATTTAATAGAAGTTAGTTTTTTTTTTGAAAAAAAGGATGAATGGCGTTCCTTTATTTTTGACTAACGTCGAACGTGAACGCGTTCCTTGTTTATGATGATTGCTTTCGAAATATGCGTACGCAGGAATTTGGTCTGGGGGGGGGGGGGGGGTAATATAATTTTTTAAGAAATATTATTGTTTTTTAAAAATATCAAGCATAAATTTATTAGGACTAATAACTATTTCTAATACACAATGTTAAATTAATGTGAATTATAAAAAAATTATATGTAAAGAATCACTTAAATGACCCAAAATAGAAACTTGAATTTTTTGAGCTTTAAAATTTCTATATAAAGTATAAAAAATTTAAATGTTAGAAATAAAAATTAATACACAAAAAGCTAAGGGAATAATTGTATTTTGTATGTTATATATTTACAATGTAAAATCCAATCTTCGTTGGGATTGAGCTAATTTTTCAATTATCTCATCCTTACTTGTTGTCAAATGCCTATGAATATTCAAAAGATCCAAACCTTTCAATCTACTTTCAAAACTTGTACTTCTTGGTATGTTTTTCGGCCCGGCCCCCGAGCCGGACTGTATGGCCGGGCCCGAAATTTAAAAAAAAACACCCGGGCTTAGCCTGAATTTTTTAAAAAAAAACATCTAGGCCGGGCCTCAAAATTTTTTTAAAAAAAATATCCGGGCCGGACTGTATATTTTAAAACAGCCTATATTTGAAATCGTTATTATTAGCTATAAAAATCAAAAATAAATATAATTTATTTTAAAAAAATCCGGGTCGGGCCTGAAAATTGAGCTTATCCGCAAAAATCTTAAAAAAAATTCGGGTCGTGCCCTGCAAATGGTACCTCTGCAGGGCTCTGTTATCCTTCTTAAAAAAGATAATGTTCTCTCATTAGTTTACTATTGGGAAGAGTTGCTAATATATATAAACCCTTTTAATACATTGGAAATATAATCTAAAATGTGTTTGAAATAATGCAGAGGATCCATAGCATTTTTTGGGACTGTATCAACCATAGTTAGTCTTATAAACATAGTTATTCAGCTAATAAGGCTTCATAAGATACTTTAACATCTTCATGATAAAAATCCAACAAATATTTTATTTCTATCACCATCTGAAAAAGGTTGGGAAGGCTTTTATGGAAATAATATTTGCAGATTGGTAAGTGCTGCATAATGAATTAAAAACCATTCATTTATTTGGTTTATAAATGTATTTGTATCTAAGATATACTCTTCTACTGATCCTATATTAATGTTTTATTTAACTATGAGCTTGTCTTGCTGCAAGTCGAGTGAGACAAATATTAAACACGTATAGCTCTGCTTTTGACTTAACAAAAACATATAATGAAATTCTTCATAAACATTAGCCCTAATTTCCTTGAATTCTAATAAAATGCTCTCCACTATTCTCATCTTCTTAATCAAGTCATCATGTTTTTGAAAAGTAATACATAAAATAGTTGTACATTCTAATGAGAAAAAAAATTTGGAATAAGCATTGAATCCAATAATTTTCTTGCTTCTAAGGAAAAATTTCTTTCAGGCCATTGTGATATGTCAGTAAAAGCAAATAATGGGCTCTTCTAACTCCATAAAAGCTGTTACTGCTTGATGGCGGAGACTATCTCATAGGACAAGGTTGCAATTTCTTTCTCCCTGTTGGACAATTTCAGAATAATTATTATTTGACTAGAAATTTAAAAATGGTAGATAAATATTACGCCACTAAAAAATAATAAGATAATATTACTCCGGAAAATTTGAAATCGAAATTAATTGATAAACTTAGTTATGAATGTGATAATAAATGTAATTAAATATATATTTAATATGAGATAGGAATAAATATTAACAAATATAAATTAATATGTACTGTGTAAATTTAATTCAAAACATTTCCATATTTATTAATTTATTTGAAAATAAAATTATTTGACTTGTAAAAAGTTGTTAAAATAACATATTTATATATTCTTATCAATTTTTACAATTTAAAATTTATACTTACAAACGAATTAAAAAATATGGAAATATTTAAATTAAATCTGCACAACACTCTAAACAAAAATATTTTTGAAAAATATATCCGGCATCTGCATTTTTTGGCTTTGGAGGGCCCCCCCCCTCCGCTGCGTACGCCAATGGATTTCGAATTTAAAGTTTGTTCAATTTTATAAATCACCTTTTATTTTTATTTATTTTAAAAATTTAATATTAGTCCTAATTAAGAAAAAAGTCTTATATTAATAATCAACTGTTTTTTCTTTTATACATTTCAATTTTTTTAACACGCCAGTATTATAGTTAATTAATCTGAACATTATTGCTTATTTAATTTAATAGATAAGCATAAGCCTGGATATTATTATTTCATCATCATCATCTGATTCTAAAATATCAAAATCGGATGAATTAACATTACCATGGCCAAATATGATAAATATTTTACAGTAATATCCTATATTGAAAGAACTTATTCAATACTTACCAAATGTAAAATGTGCCCAAAAAGTATCATATCAGTTTCAAAATCTTCAAGTTCCAATTTAAAACGACATTTGATTGTAATATTAATTATTTTATGTAATATAACTAAGTAAAATCATTAAATTTGAAGAAAAAATGCATTTAGGCTATTTGACTCCAACAATAACAATAGTTTTTTTAAAATTAAAAAATATTAGTGGCCTAATATGGTCAATCATTGATAGACGCAGTATTAAATGGATAAAAGGTATTAAACATCACTATCAAATTAATTACATATTTATGTTTTAAAGATTTGAACATATATATGAAGATCAATATGTTATTTCTGCAATTATACATCCTATTCAAGTTCAATGACCATGGATTTAACCTCCACAGAATGAATCTATAAAAATAAACCTATAACGTTATTGAAAAAATGCATCGAAAACCCTAGAAATGATAATACAAAAGCTCTAAATTTCGAGATCATTTTTGTTGACGAGGAAGTAGAGGATAAATTGGAGGAAGATAACTTATCTCATTTTTTTGAAGCAAAGAACAAAACAATAAATGTTTTTAATAAATTCCCCACTTTAAAAGATTTGCTCCTCTGTCCCTGTTCAGCGCGTTTTTAGTATAGCTTATGCTGTATTAACTGCCAATCCTGTCTATCAGATGAAAATTTTGGAAAATTATATTAAAATTAATAAGAAATTTTTATAAATAAAAATATCTTTTTATTTGCTATATTATATTTGTATATATAATTATATATCAAAATAAAACTATTATTTTTTAACTTGGCTAATATATTGATTTGCCTAACTTTGATCGTAAAGTCATTTGATCGTAAATTTTGTCCATTTTTTTCTGATTGGTCTATTTAATCGCGGTAAATTAAAATCATTTATAACCCTAACCCCAACCCTAACCTTAACCCTAACCCTAACCCTAACCCTAAACCTAACCTATAAATTAAAAAATCGTCCATTTTGACCAAAAATGGACAAAATGGACCATTTTACGATCAAAATAATACGATCAAAGGAGGCCCTCCCAATATATTGTGTTAAAAAATATAAGTCATTTATTTATATTAGATTAAATTTTAAAAAAATTTATCATAAAATTTTGAGCGAACGTGAACGCGTTCCTTTTTTTTGAAAGTGAGTTTGAACGCGTTCGATTTTTTTAGAAATATTTAGAGCACTATAGAATATTATATATATACAAATATATTTATATAAGAATTGAGAATAAAAAGTTATCATTGACCATATTTTATGAGGTTTTTTCAAGTTATAAAACAAAGATAAGATCTTTATGTATGTCTAAATTTTCTCCCGATTAATAATTTATTATATTTCTAATTTTCAAAAATTTATGACCGCTACATCAATATAGTCAAAAATTTATTGCCACTATTTTTTACATATAAATCTTACGAGTGAATCTGAAAACGTTGCATAGGGTGGAAAGATTCTGCATGTTGAATTAGATCTTACCTAATATGGGAGGTTCGGTTTAAAATATAATATTTTAATTAATATGTAAACCCAAATCCTAATCATTGTAGCACAGTCCTAGGCTAACCACTAACACAGTTCCTGAGTTTATCAGGTCTGCTTGAACCGCATAGTCAGTAAAATCTAACATACTTATTAATTACTAATAAGATCTTTGTGAGATTTTACTATATGAGGGCTTAGTGTCAGATAAAATAAAATATGTGTATATCGTAATCGAATAAAAAGACCTAATTTCCCTGAGCTAACTTCTAACACCATCCATGAACTTTTTAATTTTATATATTCGTTTATGTGATCTAAAATACATTCTATATAAAGTCACAATTCTACAACTTAGACTAATACGTATCCCAACCAATAGTTATGAATAAATAAAAACAATTAATAAATATAAAACTTGCATATATATAAAAAGTTTTATTAATTAAATGAATTAACGTCCTTCTTGTTGACTTTGTTTGTGTAAGGTAACGTGATAATTGACGTGAAACCTTCATCTTATTTTAGCAAACAATGAGTTTTGAAAATGAATGAACAAGATTCTTGTTGTGATGATGAAGAAATTATCCACTTCTTAGATCTTTTGGAGAGATTTTTTTCAAATAATGTTAAATCAATATGTCCCTCTATATCTAGCGGTTATATGCATATGGCTCAAGCCCGGAGA